CATGAAAATTTAAGTTTTGTCCAAGCAGTTTAGTTCAATGGACTACAATTGTAATGACCATATGTATTAAAACTTATAGGAGAGTTATAATGTCAAATATGCTTTCCATAACCATACCTATATTTGCCAGGCCACATGTTGTCATTTTGCTTGGAAAATATAGTTACTAGGCTTTCAGCAAAAAATTGTAATGACCATATGTATTAAAACTTATAGAAGAGTTATAATGTCAAATATGCTTTCCATAACCATACCTATATTTGCCAGGCCACATGTTGTCATTTTGCTTGGAAAATATAGTTACTAGGCTTTCAGCAAAAAATGTTGAATAATGAATTTAAATTGTAGCATGTTATCCATTTTACTTATTCATTTGTGCGTTTCATAAATGTTTATTTACTTTTTATTATATTTCTAGCAGTGTGAAAATTCTGGGATAATGGTAAACATAGGAAATAAAATTCACCCCTTTTTGGAATTTATGGTTTATAAAAACTATCCATATTGTCACTTACATTTGTATAGTCACACTGTCTGTGACTGGAGCTTCCTTCAACTGTGTGTTTCACCATATACCCAACTGTGTACCATGCACCTAAAAAAGACATATATTCCAGTTAGAACTAAACTTAGATAAATCTATGTAGTGAATGCAGTAGCATGATAACATTTTATTTGACATAAGTGAGATATTTTTGGCTTTTTAAGACAGAAGGCAGAGACCTGAGACATGAATTGATTAACTGCATTCATCTACTGGAAAGTTCTTGGTACCAAGATTAGAAATGTAATTTCAATTCATGGTTTTTGACCTGGAACTGAGCCTCATAAATCTTAACTCCCACTTGGTCATTTGACTTCATAATGTTTATGACCTTTTGATGTTTGTGCTGCAGTGAAATTTTAGTTACTATGGAATATAGGATCATAGAAACATGTATAAATGAACTTCACAGATAATTTGGAATCTTTGCATCCATTTCTATTGCCTCCACCTCCAAAGTATATCTATTATAAGCTCAAATGATGAATTTATTTATTTATTTTGGCTGTCCTGTGTGACATGTGGGATTTTAGTTCCCCTGACTAGGGATTGAACATGTGCTCCCTGCAGTGGAAGTGCAGAGTCTTAACCACTGGACTGTCAGGGGAGTCTCTCAAATGATAAATGTGAGTCCACCTTTTTCTATTCACCTCAAGTGATACAACAAATGAACAGTTGGAGAGGAGGAGGAAAAAGGAACCTGGGCAGTTCTTTCTGTACGAACTAATAAGGAAGCTAGGTCCTCCTCTATAACTCCAACCACTTGCTTAGGATTTAAGCTACCTTGCTCAGAGGCGAGCACTTTAAAAATTATAATTGCAAGGATTCTTCTTTCTTTAAATATTTATATTTAAGGTTAACCTACAAATAAATCCAAAGGACAAAAGAGTCTGCTGGCCTACTTTTTTTTCAGTTTCTACTCATCACTTGTCACTGGCTGACAACTCTGAAAGAATAATAACAACCTGCTTTAATTGCTCTAGCTGAAGGTATTTGTCAGTCAAAACTTCGCTGACCAATATTAGAAAGAAAGTGATTCAAGACTCAGGCTGCATTCTAACTGAAGGATAGTTAATTCTCCCTCCAGTATATCCAAGACATTTGAGCACTATTTCCCTTAAGTGAGTTATATAGTGGGAATTCTGTGATACCAGAGTGAGCCCTTAATGTGAATGTTTCACCCAAGAACTCCTTGGGAGTGTGTTGGGAGAAGAGAACTGCAGGCCCTAACTCATTGTTCCTACAAAAAACAAAGGAACAAAGAGCTAACAGATTTACAGAAGAATAACGTGCAGTGGGTATACAGGAGGATGGAGGCAGACTTTCCTTACATACCTGATGATGTGTCTGTCTCCAAGAGGAGAATGTGAGACAATTTCCAGCCATAAGATTGTCCTCATTACCCCATCTAAAAGCTCATTCATGGATGGATAGGCACATTTGTGGCTCCAGAGACTCATTTCCTTTAGTATTCTGAACAAGATGAAGTATATTTTTCATGTCAGTGATTATTAAGTTTGCAAGTCTCTCTTGAATAGGACCCATAGTTCCCTGGTGTGCTCATTGGGAGGCACCTGGGTCCCTGTGCATGTATATCTGTGCATCCCTCTAATTTTCCCTATATTTGTTTGTATTTCCCCAATGGTTTAACTAGTAAGATACAGAGGTCTGCATAAATATCCAAGAGAAGCCAGGAAAATTTTCTTCTTTGTGGTGATAACCTTCCTCTAAAGAACTGATCTGAGTGCAGGAAGGGAGGTAGAGAGTGGGACAGGTTAATGAGAGAGGAGATTAAAAAAAGAAAGAGAAAGAAAGAATGTGTGTGCATTTAAGAGTGTGTGTGTGTGTATGTTGGTGTCTGTGATCTTTTCTCCAAAGTACATCCATTTCATTCTTGGTATTTAACCTGTAAGGACTTAAGTTAAAAAAAATTTTTGTCTATACAAAGTTACTTAAATTTGTTATACTTGACATACAAGAAAGAATTTCCCTTTTAAATTTTAAGGATAATTTGAACACACTTGTTTGAAAGAATTGAGTTTTTTGTAAAAGTGGATTTGCAATGCTGTTGACTGACATAATGCAATATTAGTGAAAATGAAAATTTAGCACTGTAAATGGTTCAGAGACAGGAAGTATGATTTCTCTCATTGATATCAGGTTAAGGAGAACAAACAAGAAGAGGCAGAGAACCTGTGGGGAAGAATTCAATCATAGCAAGAACTCAAGTAAAGAACCCTACTGAGTTTACGAGTGAGGCTGTATAAGGACAGAACAACTTCTAAAAATGTCCCTGTCCCAGCAGTATTGACATCACTCGAGAGCCTGTTAAAATACAAATTTTCAGGTCTCACCCCTACCTAGTAAGTTAGAAACACTCAGTGTGGGGCCAAGAAACCCCCTTTTTGAACAAACCTTTATGTGATCTGCTGCATGCTGAAGTTTGACAACCACTGTATAGATCATTAAAGACTGGGTTAAGGATGGTATATGTTTGATGGAGCTTCTAAGTTTGGGGAGGATTTCAGTAGGATCAGGAATTAGTTGAGCATGGTTTGGAGAAAGGCTCAAGAATGATATTTGTAGGGATAATTGACATCTGAAGCTGAGTTTTAGATAATGTTGTATGTAGAGAAACAGGCTTAGAATTTTAGACATCTGGGAGCCTTTTGAAAGAGACCTGGGATAGGCAGGGAAATGGTGTAAAAGATTATTCAGGCATCATGTGAAAGGGAGTGACCTGGGAATAAAAAGGGGTACTGGGTTTGAATAGAGTTGAACCTAAAGAGAAGGTCGTGGGCTAAGAGATAGAAAACTAGGACACAGAAACTCTAGGTTCTGGCCTGAGTGCTTTTACTTACTGGCTGTAAGAGCCTGTTGAGTTCATGTCTTCAAATATTCGATACCTTCTTTGTGTTCTCCATAGGGCTGACATGAGAATGAAATAATAGATAGGAAAATATTTTGTAAATATCTATATAATTGTAATATGATTGTGATTGAAGAGCCTCAGGAGTGGATTCCTAACTCCATTATCTCTCCAGTTTGTCATGGAAATATCATTCTAGAAGTAGAATTTCCTTTCTGAGGATCTAGGAGGACTTTCCATTCCTCTTGGGTAAACCAGTTCCTTAACTTTTCCTCCTCCCCAAATATATGTCCCGAAGATCAGGTTGCAGATACAAATTCCTTTAAAAAGAAATACAAAGTTTTATTTGACAACTAGAGATAAAGAATTTTTTAAATGCCCATGCCTCTATTTAGTCTGTTTTCAATGAAAAAACCACGGTGATGACCCTTTTAAAATATAATGGGATTCTATTACTCCTCTGCTCAAAACTCTGCTCAGAAAGGCTTTCCATCTCATTCAGAATTTAAAATTCTTACTATGGCTCACAAGGGTCTGTACAACTTGGCCCTCTGTATGCTGTCTTTGACTTCATCTCTGATATTTCTCTCTTAATCTCTCTATTCCAACCAAACAAAACTACTTGCTGTTATTGGAACACAGTCCTGCCTCAGGGTCTTATGGAGAACTTGCCTCCCTCTGCATGGAATGCTCTTCCCTCAGCTATCCACACAGCTCATTCGCTCATCTCCTGCAAGCTTTTGTTTAAATGATACCTTCTCCCGGTGGCCTTCCCTGATGGTCCTATTTAAAATTTCAACCTTTTCTCTCTCACTTCCTGTATCCCTTCCCCTTTCTCCATATTGTTTATCTCTTTCCAGTGTAACTATATTTTTGCTTATTTTTTTATTGTCTGTCCCTCACTAGAAAATAAACACCACACATAGAGTGTGTTTTGACCATTTTGGTCATAATGTATCTCTAATGCCTATGAGAATATCTAGAATAAAGTAGATGCTCAATAAATTTTTGTTGAATTGAAAAAATTGCTATTTTATATGATGTTAAAACATAACTTATATAAGCATGAAACTTTCAGTCTGTCCCTAATCTGGAAGATTCTGGACCAAGAGGAGCTAAGAGGATAGAAACTTTTTCTATTACTAAATCCTTTGGTTATATATCCATTAGACATTTAAATTAGATTATTTAGTCACTTTAAAGGATATTGTACTGTCTTAAGAAATGCTTTCAGTACACTGGTGATGATTCACCTAGGATAACTTCTCTTAGTCTAGCTTTACCTCTTTACCCTAATAATCAAAACTAAGACAGTGTATGAAATAGGACAAATATAATGCCCTCATATTACTATCTAAGAAGTTATTCATGTTGAAAATATTGTTATTATACTTAGGATGCAATCTAAATCAGCTGTGGCTTAGCTCTGCCAGGCTAGTTGAAAGAATAAAACATGGATGAAATCCACTAAAAAAGTCTTCTTTACTGTGTGCATTGGAAAATCAACAGCAGTATATGAAGTCTTTTTTAATTAATCTTTTATGCCTGGACAATGGTTTGCTTGTTCTCATATAGATTAGTTTATCTTCATTCTATTTTCAGGACTTTCTTCAGTGCAGCCTTCATCTCCTTGTTTCTTAAGCTGTAAATCAGGGGATTTAAGAAGGGAGTCACCACGGAATAGAACAAAGTTATAACCTTCTGAATTTCAGCTGGGTTATCAGCTGTAGGGCTCACATACATTGCCAAAAGAGCCCCGAAGAATAAGCACACTACTGTCAGATGGGATCCGCAAGTAGAAAAGGCCTTTTGTCTGCCTGCTGCTGAAGGGACTTTAAACACGGTGATCAATAAAAGGGTATAGGAGCCAAGGATGTACAGAAGAGTTAGCATGATAATGAGGGAGCTGAGGACATAGATGACAGTCTCAGTGATAGGAGCTGGGACACAGGACAGAGCCATCAGTGGATCTATGTCACACACAAAGTGATCAATGGTGTTGGGCCCACAGAAAGGCAGCTGAGAGAGCTGCACGGTGGAGACAGAGTAGCTAAGGAACCCAAACACCCAGCAAAGAGACAACAGAACAGAGCAGAGTTGTTGGGTCATGATGGTTGGGTAGTGCAACGGGCGGCAGATAGCAAGATACCGATCGTATGCCATGATACAGAGTAAATATGTCTCAGTTGTACCCAGGGAAGTAAAGAAATATAACTGGAGGAAACAGCCAACAAAAGAGATGGTTTTTGTTTCTGAGAGGAAATTGATTAGCATACTGGGCACAGTGGAGGTAATGTACCAGATTTCAAGGAAAGCGAAATTCCCTAGGAGAATATACATTGGTGTATGGAGCCTTTGGTCCCACCTCACAGCGCAAACAATGGTCCCATTTCCCACTGTAGTAAATATATAGATTCCAAAGAAGAGTGAAAAGAGGAAATACTGTAACTCTTGACAGCCAGGGAAGCCTAGGAGGATAAACTCTGTCACGGTGCTTGCTGCTGAATTGTTCAGGAATCCCAGGACTGCATAGAAGACAGAAAATACCAATATATAAGTTGCTTTGTTTCTTGAAAAACTTATAGGAAACCTATGCTAGGTGTATGTATTGGCTGTTTTGCAATTAGTTTGGAATAACCCATCTATTAACTCCTATCTTATTTAAAAGCCACCAACAAACAAATTTCAATAAAATTGGGTTCATAACAATAGAATCTTTATACTACTTGGATTTTCTTTATCAAAGGATTAGGTTAAAAAACTCCTCTCTTCCCTTTGAAAAATTTGAAAACTCAGAAGCACTACCCTCTGTGAAAAGAAAAAGGTTATCCATTTGTATTAGATTCATTTGTATTATTTTTTAGGGCCCAACATATGATATCATATAGTATTTGTATTTCTCTGTCTGGCTTATTTTACTAAGCATAATATTCTCTAGGTTCGTTAATATTGCTGCAAATGGCAATATTTCATTCTTTTTTATGGCTGAATTATATTCCATTACATATATGTATACAGGTAATATATGGGCTTCTCTGGTGGCTCAGATAGTAAAGAATCTGCCTGAAATGCAGGAGACCTGGGTTCAATCCCTGGGTTGGGAAGATCCCCTGGAAAAGGGAATGGCTACACACTCCAGTATTCTTGCCTGGAGAATCCCATAGAGGGAGGAGCCTGGTAGGCTACAGTCCATGGGGTTGCAAAGAGTCGGATATGACTGAGCTACTTCACTTTCACTTTCCTATTTTTATAGCAGTATCTATCCCTTGTCATTCTGATGGTCTGAAGCTTGTTTTTTGGAAGAAATTATGGAAACGAAATTTTCTGAATTACTGCATGTTGATAACAGTTGTCTACGATCTTTATATTTGAAATTCACTTTTGCTGCATGTAAGGTCCTAGGCTCATATTTTCTTTCCTCACAAAATCTTAAGTACATGTACATATTCTCTGCTGGCATAAAGCTCACAGGGTCTGAAAGTGTTAGCCCCTCAGTTGTGTCTTTCCCACCTAGGGATTGAACCCGGGTCTCCTGCATTGCAGGCAGATTTTTTTTACCATCTGAGCCACCAGGGAAGCCCGTTAAACTAAATCCTATTCCTTCATAAGTCACTTACTGTTTTTGCCTGGATGCCCAAAGATACTTCCTTTTCATTTTTATTTAAAACTCAGTAGTTTTACTAGAATACGTCCGGCGGTGTGCACTCTGAATTGATATTCTCTGGTATGCAGTGTTTCCCTTCCTTATATTTCAAGTATGTAGATTTCATATTTCAGGAACATTTGTTTCCTTGAATTGCAGGTTTTAGAACTGTTATCTCATGTCACTTTTATCTTCTGGGACTCCTGTTATCTGTTGGATGCTTTTGGCTGTCCCCAGTATTCGTTGTTCTCTCTCAAACTCATTTGCCTCTCTTCATTTTTAAAAAAATTTAAAATGATTTTCTTCTTTTCAGTTTCCATTTCTCCTAAGGTGTTGTTGGTTATGTTTAGTTCCTCTCATTCCTTTACACTTTATTTCTTTTATTTCTATTTCTTCCTAATTTTGATTCACATTGTCTCTCACTCTCTAAATGTCTTTAGTTTGTTCTGAAATAGCAGGTGACAGCTTTGGTCTGTTTTGTGGGCATGCCTCTGTGGTATGCTTTCATTGTCTGGAAGAATGTTATTCTACTTCTTTTTTTTTTTTTCCTCTGATAACTTTGCTGACTTTTGACCTCACTTCTTTCCTGATGCTCATTCCTGAACTGACGTCAGCTGTCACAATGCCTTCTGTGACTGTCATCGGCGGGCTAACATGTGAGGGCTTGCCTTCTGCGAATCCCTCGGGCCCATTGTGACCGGCATGTCTCCTTACTGTCTGTCTCTCCTCCATGTCCTGCAAGTGCTAATTCCCCCAGGGCCTCCCCCTCCATGTGGGGTCTTGTCCTGGAAGAAGCATTGCTCCAGCTCCTCAGGCCTAGAGGAGGAAAAACCCTTCCTGTGTTCAGCTGCTGTCCTCTTCACACTTTCTGGGGAAATTGATGCTGTCTNGTTGGATCCCCTTGCAGTCCAAGGGACTCTCAAGAGTCTTCTCCAACACCACAGTTCAAAAACATCAATTCTTCAGTGCTCAGCTTTCTTTATAGTCCAACTCTCACATCCATACTTGACTATTGGAAAAACAATAGTCTTGACTAGACAAACCTTTGTTGGTAAAGTAATGTCTCTGCTTTTTAATATGCTGTCTAGATTGGTCATAACATTCCTTCTTTAAGGAAAATAAATAATGTAACCTTGATTTATGTTCAAATAGCATGACATACTGTGTGTTCTTGGGCAACTTAACACCTGTTTTTCAGAGCTCCTGTGAAAATGTTGTTGAATATACTCAATATATGCTAAGTACAGTTCCTGGAATATAATTGGACCTAAAAAAATTCATAGCCATTGTTAATAATAGTACTATCAACAATCCTGATTACAAAGTATAGACTTTTTAGCATAATTATTTAAAAACCTTAGTGATTAAAAAGTTACTCAGTTCCAACATATCACATAGCAAAGCTATGGGCAACTCTCTTTGGTTGCTCAGATTGATTTTACTGACCACCTTGTATATTCTGGCACTTTAAAACATACACTTTGGTATGATATAAAGGAAGAAGACATTGAAACATTGTGATTCAAGACACAGAAAATAAATAAAGGGAGTGTGTTGCATTACTTGTGATGTGCATGAGAGTGAGTGGGAGTGTTATATTTAACTGGGGGCACTGTAGAAGATGACTCACTGTGTGCCGAGTCCCTTCAGTTGTGGCCAACTCCTTGCAACCCCATGAATTGTCCCCCGCCAGGCTTCTCTGTCCATGGGGTTCTCCAGGCAAGAATACTAGAGTGGGTTGCCATGCCCTCCTCTAGGGGATCTTCCCGACCCAAGAATTTAACCCACATTTCTTATGTCTCCTGCATTTGCAGGCAGGTTCTCTATCACTGCACCACTGGGAAGCCCATGAGTTCCGAAGTACAACTCTAAACAGTCTTCTCATACCAAATTAAAGCTTACTGAATTTCTGAATAATGAAACATTCTTTTATGAATCACTAAGCAAAAAAGTTTCAGGGGAAAAAAAAGTTTCAGGGATTGTTAAACAGAGGGAGATGAGTAGCTGGGCATCAGCTTATTATGTTACTAGTGACTGAAACTTCATATCCAGAAACATAAAGCCACAAAAGTTTGCAAAAGTATATTAATATTCAAATGTAATTCCATTGTAGCAAGGATCAATTTGTAGGTGTCTTAGAAAAAATACAGTGATGCCAAGACAGGAAGAAAAGTTACTTACCCTTCATGATAAGACTAATTATGGATGAAGCTGGGAATAAATACTGAGTCTGTGTCTTCTCACTGATGCTTTTTCCTTTACTTGGAATCAAAACTCAGGGGCCTGATCCTGAGCATCCTACAATGTACAAAGTTAAATGCTGAAACTTCCTTTCCTCCCTTCCTGAATTACTCAAAAGAAACAGTTATAGCAACAGGGCACTTCTGTTGGGCAATGTGATAGCCAGTGAAAAGAACTACAGCCCTATAATCAGTCATGGAGACGTGGGCCTTATTTGACATACTGATATTTTCATCAAGAACTACATAAGAGACCTCAGTCTACCCAAGGCAGCCAGATCTTTCACTTTTCTCACCCAGAAGAGACAACTCAACAGAGCTTTATATTTTGGTTACTTTTGCTATAGAGTAATTGAAAGAAATGGGGTATAAACCTCAAGAGGAGTTTTCAATAAGCGAGGGTGCAGGTGAATGGAGGGAGGGGAAGTGTTGTTGAGACTCCTCAGGGTGCAATTAAAGTTTCATCTTAGAGATTATTGTGAAGTCTTCAGAGTCTTCTTGGACTGGTTTATGACTCCCTCAAGACTCTTTGGTGTAACATCCTTTTCTTATCCAAAGTTTTCATATAGTTTAGGTTAATTTGGCTCCCAGAGTGAAGACAAGGATAATGTCTTAAAGGCAATGCTGAGTTGTCTGTGCAGATTTACAGAGAATTTCTTTTTGTTTTCAGGAAACATTTATTTCTCTCTGAAATATAAAGAATATTCACAATGTATATTGTTTATATTCTATGGGAGTGTATTTTCTTCACATACTTTACAATTATAAATTTTTGTTTCCAGTCTTTAATTATCAACAGACTATTGTTTTTCCATTTGTTCTGTCTGTTCTTTGTTCCTTTATTGCTCATTTTTTATTTTCTTTTGGATTATTCAGGTACTTTTATTATTTTTTTAATGATTTTAAACTATTTTTACTGTGATAAAATATATGTAACATAGAAATGATCATATAACCACTTTAAGTGTACAGTTCTGGATGTTAATTACATTCATATTGTTAAGCATCCATCACCAGCATTCATCTCCAGAACTTTTTCATTACCCTAAACTGAAATTCCAATACCCATTAAATAATAACTTCTCATTTCGCTTTCCCCTAGCCCCTGGCAACAGACTATTAGATTTTTATCTTTGAATTTTATTACTCTAGGAAACATATAAGTGGAATCACACAAAATTTGTCCTCTATGATTGGCTTATTTCACCTATCATATTGTCTTCAAGGTTTATTCATGTTTTAGAACATGTCAGAATTTCCTTCCAAAGGTTGCATTGTTTGTGTATATAAAATTTTATTTATCTATTCATATCTGAAGAATACTTCTGTTGCTTTCACCATTTCACTATTGTGAATATTGCTGCTGTTGACTATGAGTATAAAATATCTGCTTGATTCCTTGCATTCAGTTCTTTTGTATATATACCCAGAAGTGGAATTGCTGAATCATTGGTAATCCATGGCTTTTAGGAACTGCTGTACTATTTTCCACAAAGGCTGAACCATTTAATATTCCCACCAGCAATGTACAAGTACTCCAATTTCTCCAGATTCTTCACAGTTTTTGCTGTTTGCTTTATAATAACCCAGAGATCAAATTGCCAACATCCATTTGATAAAAAGCAAGAGAATTCCAGAAAAACATCTACTTCTGCTTCATTGACTATGCTAAAGCCTTTGTGTGGATCACAACAAAGTGTGGAAAATTCTTAAAGAGATGGGAATACTAGACCACCTTACCTGCCTCCTGTGAAACCTGTATGCAGGTCAAGAAGCAACAGTTAGAACCAGCTGTGGAACAGTGGACTGGCTCCAAATTGGGAAAGTAGTACATCAAGGCAGTACATTGTCACCCTGCTTATTTAACTTATATGCAGTAAATTATGGAAAATGCCAGGCTGGATGAAGTACAAGCTGGAATCAAGATTGCAAGAACTATCAATAACCTCAGATATGCAGATGACACCACTCTTCTGGAAGAAAGCAAAGAACTTAAAAATCTCTTGATGAAAGTGAAAGAGGAGACTGAAAAAGTTGGATTAAAACTCAACATTCAAAAAATGAAGATCGTGGCATCTGGTCCCATCACTTCATGGCAAATAGATGGGGAAACAATGGAAACAGTGAGAGACTTTATTTTCTTGGGCTCCAAAATCACTGCAGATGGTGACTGCAGCCATGAAATTAAAAGACGCTTACTCCTTGGAAGGAAAGTTATGACCAACCTAGACAGCATATTAAAAAGCAGAGACATTACTTTGCCAACAAAGGTCCATCTAGTCAAGGCTATGGTTTTTCCAGTGGTCATGTATGGATGTGAGAGTTGGACTGTGAAGAAAGCTGAGCGCCGAAAAATTGATGCTTTTGAACTGTGGTGTTGGAGAAGACTCTTGAGAGTCCCTTGGACTGCAAGGAGATCAAAGCAGTCAATCCTAAAGGAAACCAATCCTGAATATACATTGGAAGGACTGATGCTGAAGTTGAAGCTCCAATACTTTGGCTACCTGATGCGAAATACGGACTCACTGGAAAAGACCCTGATGCTGGGAAAGATTGAAGGCAGGAGGAGAAGGGGACGACAGAGGATGAGATGGTTGGATGGCATCGCTAACTCAATGGACATCAGTTTGAACAAACTTTGCGAGATGGTGAAGGACAGAGAAGCCTGGCATGCTGCAGTACATGGGGTCACAAAGAGTTGGACTTGACTGATTGACAGAACAACAACAAAGAACATTCCTCTAGAGAGTGAAGACTGCCATCATATCCTGCCCACATAATGGGGTGTCACTCTTGGATCTTGCTTCAGACATGTAAGCTGCCCCAGCCATTAATCATTGATGTCTCTGTTGCTAAAAAAATATTCCTCTAGAAAGATATCCTTTGTTTAAAGAAAACTGTATTATTTTTTAATTAAAAAGTAAATCATGCAGTCATGTGGAAAAGAATTTAAAACATTCAAAATAAATCTCTTTTTCTGTCTTCTTCCTTAGACACCAAATTCTCCTTATTGAAGCAAGCCCTGTAACCAGTCTGGATCTCCTTCAGAAGATGGTCTACACATTTATATTACAGGTATTTACACCCTGCAGCTCACTTATTTTTTAATATTTATTTATTTTTAATTGATTGATGATTGGTTTACAATATTGGTTTGATTTGGCATACATCAGCATGAATTAATCATAGGTGTACATATGTCTCCTCCCTCTTGAATCTCCCTCCCTCAGCTCACTTTTTTTTTTTACTCAACAATGTATCTTGAAGTAATTATGTTACATTACTTATAGAGCTACTTCATATTTTATGAACTTGAAGATTTAGTATTCCACTGTATGACTAAACTATAGCTTATTTAATTGGTTTTCCATTAATGGGAGCTGACATTTTTCTCAACATTTTGCTATTACAACAATGATACAATGAACATTTTTATACTTTCATAATTTCCGATATGTGTGAAAAAAGCCATAGGCTAAGCACCTTAGAGGCAGCATTGCTGGGTTCCAGGGCATAGGCCTTTTAAATTTTGACTGTCCTAAATGCAGTGTAAAACTTATACTCCCACCAACTAAGTGTGAGAGAACCCATGTCACATTCTCAACCATATAGTGTGCTATCAAACTGCTTGATCTTTGTCACTCGTCAGGTTAAACATGAGATACTGTCTCATGATATTCTCTCTTTATCTTTTTATGAGTGAACTAGTGAAAAGTTTAAGTGAAAACTATGAAAAGTTTAAGAATCTTCTATATGTTATTTGTTTGTATCTTTTTGCTTATTTTCCTATTACGATGTTGCTCTGTTCTCTTACTGTTTATAGAGCTTTATATATATTAAGGAAACAATATATCATTGATATCATATATTTGTCAATATATCATCATTGAGAATTATTGAAGGAGAAATAATTGAGAAGTTCTAAAGTTAAAAATATAGGATTGTTTACTGAAAAGAAAAGGAAGGTGAAAAGGGTGGTGGATAAGACATTTTTATTTTTTTACCATTAAAATATTATCCTTAGAAAATCACTCCTGATACCCAGTTCTCATTTTCTTCATCTGCAGAATCAGGTAGCTGAATTGATAAATATATACAATAATAGGATAACTTTTCTTTCAGGATCTAGGGGGTACTTCAAGGAGAGCTAGTCCAAGTTACTAATAAAAATCCTGAGTAAACAATTTTGCTGATCTATAATTCCTTTTCATTATAGGGGACTGGAATGCAAAAGTACGATCAAGAAATACCTGGAACAACAGGCAAATTTGCCCTTGGAGTACAAAATGAAGCAGGGCAAAGGTTAATAAAGTCTTGCCAGGAGAATGCACTGGTCATAGCAAATACCCTTTCCAACAACACAAGAGAAGACTCTACACATGAACATCACCAGATGGTCAATACTGAAATCAGACTGATTATATTCTTTGCACCCAAAAATGGAGAAGCTCTATACAGTCAGCAAAATCAAGACTGGGAGCTGACTGTGGCTCAGATCATGAACTCCTTATTGCCAAATTCAGGCTGAAATGAAGGTAGGGAAAACCACTAGACCATTCAGGTATGACCTAAATCAAATCCCTTATGATTATAGAGTGGAAGTGACAAATAGATTCAAGGGATTAGATCTTATAGACAGAGTGCCTGATGAGCTATGGACAGAGGAAGACATTGTACAGGAAGACCATCCCTAAGAAAAAGAAATGCAAAAAAGGCAAAATGGCTGTCTGAGGAGGCCTTACAAATAGTTGTGAAAAGAAGGGAAGCAAAAGGCAGAGGAGAAAAGGAAAGATATACCCGTTTGAATGTAGAGTTCTAAAGAATAGCAAGGAGAGATAAGAAAGCCTTCCTCAATGATCAATGCAAAGAAATAGAGGAAATAAGCAGAATGGGAAAGACTAGAGATCTCTTCAATGAAATTAGAGATACCAATGGAACATTTCATGCAAAGATGGGTACAATAAAGGACAGACATGGTATGGGTCTAACAGAAACAAGATATTAAGAAGAGGTGGCAAAAATACACAGAAGAACTGTACAAAAAAGATCTTCATGACCCAGATAACCGTGATGGTGTGATCACTGACCCAGAGCCAGACATCCTGGAATGTGAAGTCAAGTGGGCCTTAGGANAGGCCAGCAGATGGCAAGGTATCGATCAAATGCCATAATAGCCAAGAAAAAACATTCTGTAGAACCCAAGGAGAAGAAAAAGTAGAACTGGAGAAAGCACCCAGAGAAGGAGATGAGCTTGTTGTCAGAGAGGAAGTTGGCCAACATGTTGGGGACAGTGGAGGTGACATACCAGATCTCCAGGAAGGAGAAGTTGGCGAGCAGGATGTACATGGGGGTGTGGAGTCTCTGATCCCAGCGCACAGCACAGATGATAGAACCGTTGCCCATGAGGGTCAGGAGGTAGACAGCAGAGAAGAGCGCAAAGAGGAGAATCTGCGCCTCCCTGGGGCAAGGGAAGCCCAGGAGGATGAAGCCAGTGATGGCGCTGGAGGTGTTGGGGGTGTTGGAGATTTTCATGGATCTGGGAGCTGTGAAAGGACCAGCACATATCAAATGAGTTTGTATAGAGACATGAGGACCCAAATTTACATTTAAATCATCTTGGAAAAGTAAAGAGAGATTTATATATTAATAGCTATTTTTTTTTCCCTTGTAAACTGGGTTAACTATTCTCATTCACATTTTCATCATGGATTCAAGAAAATATTTAATCAGAATGGTAAACTCTTGAAGGGAAGTGTGGTAGAGGTATTTGAACATTAGAATTTGTTCTTAATGGAGAATCTGTCTGACAATCTATCTGTCTACCTAGCTATCTACCATCCTACCGCCTATCTAGTTTCTCAGAAAAATAGGGACAGAAAAGAATAATTCTGCTGTGTATAAAGGTCCTTTATGGTTTCTAAAAATGATTGTAAGTCCAGTACTAATTCAGAGGAAGGTAGCTTTTTTATGATCAATTAAAAACAATTGTTACTTATAATGCTTAGGTATTTTTGACCAGGGTTATTCTGCTGGGGTTCCTGAAATTTCATTTAGGGGTAAACATCTATTTAATCTAATAAATGACCCTTCAGATTAAATATTTAAGAACTGTTTTTATTTATTTATTTGTGATGAAACATTTCAGTGTAGTATTTTTTCCCTTTCTTTTACCCTCACATCTAATTCATCAGCAATTTCTGTTAGTCTGTCTCTAAAATAAGTCTCATGTCCATTCACCTCTCTCTAATTCAAGCCACCATCATCTTTTCTTCACTGGACCACTGTGATACTGTCCTAACTGGGTTTCTTATTTCTCATCTGTGTCTCTCTACAATTTGTGATCCACACCATGGCCAGAGTGACTCTTAAAAAAAAAAAGAAAATCAGATCACACAAATTTCAAATAGCTTCCCAATGCACTTAGGATCAAGCAAATTTTCAAACTAGGGTTTTGAATTGACCCTTATTCATATCTCCAAACTCTCCTCATGATTCTGTTAGTCAAATATACTTTTTCTGTGTCTCTCATGCACACGCATACACACAGAAACACACACTCTGTGTGTAAGGGAGATATACACACCCTCTACTCACATAAACACTGCAAATATGAAACAGGATTCAACAAACAATGGGGTAGCAGGATGTATTCCATGCCCTGTGCTCTACTGATCCTGCCGCAAGCTGCGTGTGTTTGGACTCTAATACCTGTGCTAGGCAGCATAACAGTAGAGAGGGACTCACTTTGTAATACTCTGTGCCAGGGGTCAGCAAATATTTTCTTAGCTATTTTAGTCTTGTAGGCCATATAGTCTTTATTATAAGTATTCATTTCTACTGTTGTATGAAACTAGCCATAGACACAAAACCTAAATGAATACACATGGCTGTATTCTGATAAAACTTTATGTCCACAGAAATTTGAATTCCATGTAACTTTGATGTATTACAGAACATTAGTCTTCTATGGATTTTTAAATTTAAATTAAACAGTAAAAATTCTTAGCTCACTGGCTATATAAAAACAGGCCATATTTGACCGACCTATTGCCATAATTTGCTGAGCCCTCGTCAATACATTTATAGAGACAGGAGAGCAAAGACATTCATTTTACTGTAGAACAATGGAAACTCTTTGGTCCATCATGTGACCTGTAAAGTAATTAGGAAAAATAAAGAAATGGAGGAGACCTCTAGAGGGCAGCTGGAATTAGCCTGTTCTGTGCTCACAGATGTTTTTGGACCAGTTTTCAGCTTAATTAAAAAAATTCAGTTTCCAAAGTCATCAGGATTGACTTTCTCTTTTTGTTTCCTTAAACACATACACACACTCATGCATGCACTGCTTCCTTCCTCCATATAATACTTCAGTAATATAACATTGGCCTTCTTTCAGTTTCTAGAAGCAGCCAAGTACTTTCCTGGCTAAGGGTCTTTGTTCTTGTTGGCCTTCATGGTCACTCTTAATTCCTACTGCTCAGCACACTATGAGGAAGAGGGTATGTACTTTGTAAACTTTTTTTTTTTTTGAAGAAATGATTGTCTACATTGTGAACAATGTAGAGAAAACAGACAGATAATACACAGATATTTACCAATTACTTCATTTGAGCTTCAAATAGCTTGTGAGATGAAATCTTAGGAAATGAATTATACAGGAAAAGGCTCCAAATGATCGAGGTGAGGAGACTGCTGGCCCAGACTTGAGATGAATCCATTCAAAGAAGTGATGGAAGCTAATGTTCTGTGTGGAAGAATATGTCCCACCACAAGTGGCTTACTCCCTGTTTCTGGAGATAATTATGGTCCCCCAGTTGTGGATGTTAAAGTAGGAGAGGAGGAAGATGGGATGGAAATTCTAGGTTCAGCTTCATAGCAAAGTAGCTTATTGGCTCTAGTAGAGTCTTCTATTGTCTATAAACTTTGTTTTCTTAATTTTTAAATTTTTTATTCTCTTTTTAATTGAAGTATAATTGATTTACAGTGTTGTGATAATTTCTGCTGTATAGCAAAGTCACTCAGTTATAAACATATATATGTTCTCTTTAATATTCTTTTCCATTATGGTTTATTGCAGGAGAATGGATATAGTTCCCAATAGGACCTTATTGTTTTTCCATTGCTTGAAAAATTTGTTCCATATCATTTACCCACTCTAAATGTAATAGTTTTTATCTACTAACCCCAAGCATCCTGTCCCTCCCTCTCTCTCCCTTTTCCCCCTTGGCAACCACAGCTCTCTTCTTTTTAGCTTTCTTGTCTTTATATGAGAAAGGAATAGTACTGTATGATTTTTAATTACTTTTCATTATAGCATGCTTACTCCTATCCAAGTATACTGCAAGTACACATGACATCAAGGCTGTGAGATCTGTAAGATCGAGAAGTGATATTGTAGTGACATCTATCTCTTACATGAGAAAATCAGTTGATAGATTTTCACTTCTACAAGAAGGGAAAAGATCCAGGCCAGTTTCCTTTCAGGGCAGTTTCACTTTGAGAGTCTGACAATATGCCCTAGAAAATAAGAAAGATGTGAAAAATGATTCTGTGTGTCATCAACATTTCAGGCTCAACCTAACTAAATTGACTATGGATGAAAAAAAAAAGATATTTCTAACAAGATTGTATTGTTTGTAACTTACCCTTAATTAATTTCCTCCTTTGTACAGAGTAGCTGTGGTTTCACCTGGCACAAACGGGATGCTGGAGCTGTCCAGAGAGGCAGGAAGTGTCCTCTGGATTAGTTGCAGAAAGTGGTGTGGCAGAAAGAGTGGGAATATGCAAATAGTGGTGTCAAAGCTGTGTGATGTATACAGGATGTTTGGACTGAGTCCTTAACAAAGCCAAACAAGAAAAACTACGTTCTCACCTGCATTATATCTTGGAAAGGTTGGGTTAAACTCAGTCTTGAATAGTCAGGTCATCAGCTACACTATATGAAATGAAGGAAAGACATATCTCTGATATTTTGCTTTTTCCTCAGGGCTAGTTTAAGAAGGCACAATGGGGTGGAAGCATTATTGGCCTGCTCTCGCAATAGCACATTCATCTACTTCATTTAGTTTGGTCAGGAGATAGCTCACCTGTCCCATGCAATGCAGGAGATCTGAGTTTTAATCCCTGGATTGGGAAGATACCCTGGAGAAAGGAGTGTGAGCCCACTCCAGTATTCTTGTCTGGAGAATCTCTTGCGCAGAGGAGCCTGGCAGGCTACAGCCCATAGGGACGCAAAGAGTCAGACACAACTGAGTGCGCACATGTGTGTGCATGCGCACACACACACACACACACACACACACACACAAACACAAGATATAACATGAAAAACCTGGATGAACTTTTTGGCCAATCTAATATATATAGTAAAGCAGAGTAAAAGAACTCTTATTTAGAGGGCAGTAGTTTTTCTAACTTTTTATTATTTACTTTCTCCTCTAAGCAAATGGACAAAGAGGGCAATCCAGACCTGAAGTTTCTCTGAATGTCTGGTCTTTCTGAAGAGGAAGGTTGGTCTTCTCTACAGAAACCACCAAGGAGTGAAGGAGTAGAAATAAGGTGACAATCTTTCTGTGTTTGCTGGAGGATAGAGAGATTCTAAGCAGAGACTCCAGGGAGTGAGGATCCATGAGGATCAATTTACCACTTCCGGAAGAAGGTCTGTGTTAGGAGAATGTTCTTTACTAGTTATTCCCTTCCTCTGGGGCCTGCCTTCTCTGGAGCCTCTGATCTTCTATTTTACCTCTGATTCCCAGTAGAGTGGAAAATGTTACTTTTTAAAGCCCCCAAATTCTCAGGGATGGCAAGAGATTTCATCAATGTATAAGACAACTCAGATTGCCTATTGGGTGTTAAAGGAAAGTCTATAAAAATAACACAGTGTGGTGGCTATGATGTAAGAAACTATTCCTGGGCCTCTAGTGAATGCTATCAATTATGAGTTTTGGAAACAGCCTCCTTCGATTTTCTAGAAAGAAGAGATAGATGGGCTGAAGGTATGATGTGACCTCAGCCATAGAGGGCTGTGCAGCTAGTTGCCCCAGGAACCCGTCCCCTTCCAGGGCCTCCCTGGTTGTTTTATAGATCTTTCCTTTCTCATTTGTGCTTGAGCCCTGTGAGTGTCAAGCAGATGTTTTGAGCGTCCATTTGTCAGGTCTGAGAGAGGCCAGAGCAGAACATTCCTTAGCTCTACTCAGGGGTCGCATCATGGAGTTGGATCTAAGCTTCCTCATCTTGATGGAAGTGCAGATGTCTTAGCACAATCCACTTCTCGTCCCTTTCTCTCCAATTTGTGAAGGATTTTCATGTCAAAGACTTATCAGGTCATTTCACTTCCTTGTTTGGACAGCTTTGTTGTTCCCCTCTGTCCACAACATGAGATTCAAAACTGCCAAATAAAAACTCTTGCACTGGAGCCTTAACCTATTGCTATTGTTACCACTGTTGTTAAGTTTTTATATTTTTACCTTTCCCCCACTATTTCCTGTAGAAGTCCTTGTGTCAACAGTCACATCAAATTGCTTAGACACACAGTGGAAGACCATATA